GTATTTTTGGCTCCAAAGGAATGATTCGAAGCAACCTACGTAATGGTGTTCCATCTCTCTGGCAGGTTCTTTGGAATATTTAGGATTATTTGTTTTAAATTGTAAATGTTGTAAATATTGTGAATAATAATATTATTTTTGTTCTTTGTTTTATTGTTATTAACAATATTTAATTTGTTGCTGTATCGTTAATTGTCGTTATTGTCAAGATTTCGAGATATTCTATTAGGATTTTTTTTTCTAACATTCCTCAACCAGCACACAATAAAAAAATCCTCTCTAGAGCAATATCTCTGAACTCACTCACTTCCATATATTTCAATTTCGGAGAATCCAAACTCCAAGTAGGAGCATGATGATTTGCTTTGGGTCAGGAAAACATACTTTCCAATGCTCTCCTCATCGCATCGAACCAGAGACGGTGTACCAGGGCAGAGCCCCACTGTTTTCACCTTAACTGTCGTACTGCAGGGGATCACGTTTGGCATATCCCCTTCAAATAATGGATCTTCATTCAAGGTGAAGTTCAGCCATACTTGAAAATCATCAAGTCCTCTGTCTTGAAAAAAGTTATAGTGGGTAATATCGTTCTTCCTGATGTCATTTCATCAATATTTAAGATCACTTTACTTTACTACACTCGCATGCTTTAGTAAATTTGAAGCATTGAATGATTAAATTTAGACCGACGTGCTATTGCAAACAAAACAGTTACTCTAAACACGGACAATGTTTTTGGATTATGTTACAATTCTAGAAACAAATCATCTGACTAATTCTCGGAGTAGAGTCCCATGGAGTGAAAAGGTGGACGCGCATGACGATGAAGACGCCTTTCAGTTGGACCGCAAACCAGGCCTGGCAGTTGTCGCGGAAGAAAATATTGTTCGTGTGAACTCTGAACCCGTCAACAGCGGCGTGGCCACTTGAGAAGTTCAAATTTTTTGAAAAGTGGGTTGGTCGCCAGTAGGCCAAATTCGTCGACGCTTCCAGAGCTGTGTGTTTTTTCGGATGGGGAATTGTTAAGAGCAAAAATTCATCGAGTTAGACCAGTGTCTTTAAGTTGTTTACTTTCTAAATAAATTATTAATGAATTATTCAAAAAAAAATTATGAGAAATTCATTCAAAATAATTATGGAATAATTACGGAAGCAGTTGCCACTAGCGTTCGCGTACTGAACGCTACTGCAGACGCACTCGGCGAGCGCAACTTCATTGACGACCGTTCGACTGCATCTCCTCTCGTTACCGCAGTTCCCGTTGTATAACTTGCAATCTGCCAACGTCGCGTTTTTTGTTGTTGAAGAAATGGAACTAGCAAAATGTTTTTTTTCTTTTTGAAGTTTTCAGACCCAAAGAGTATTAATTCAATTTGTAATGATGATGACGTTTGATGATGACCGAGAGAATGAATGAGAATGATGATGATGACGACGTTGAAGTTTGATGAGTGAATGGTGATAAGGGCAATGATGAGAATAAAGATGATAATAATGATGATAAATGAGGACGAGGATGATGATAACGATGATGATGATGGTGGTAATGATGAGGAGGAAGAAGATGATGAGTGAACACCTCGTATATCGCACCCAGCTCCACTCCAGCCAATCTGACAGTTCTCACCGCACGAAGTCTGCAGGACAGTCTCCCGACTCAAACAGTGGTTGACAGCTGTCCTGTCCATGCCGAATACCAGCTGCTCAAAAGCTGCCAAAAATTAGCACTCTGATTGTTGATCCTTACATTTAAGCGAATTAACAAAACCAAATGGTTAAACATTTGTTTTATATTTTTAATTCACCAAACAGACATTAAAACATTGATTGTCGACCTTTGAGAAATGCACATCTGAAATACTGACTACATCTCCCACTTTTCAAAGCTTTTCAAGTCTAAGCAGTACAAATTTTCAACTTGAAAAAATTTTTTCGACCTAGTATCATAAAATGTCTAGACAGCGAGCGAATCTTATAACATATCTTGGTCATAAAACATCAAGTTAGATTTTAAACCGTAACTATATAAACGCTGGTATAAATTTTGCTTTTATTTGACCGCTTCGTACTTATCTTTTTTTTATATACGAGTATTCATTCACTATACTGATTAAACTGTTTTACAGAATATGATGTGACATTTTTAGGGTATTAACGGGGTACGATCTGGAGTTTGGTAGTAATAAATAAATGTTTATAAAATACTCAAAATTGATTTTTATTTTTAAACATTCAAAATTTAGCGAAGAATTTTATTTTAGTTTTAAAGTTTGATGAAAAAATATCTACAACGTATAAAATTTAGCGAAGAATGTTGTTGGAGAATTCAAAATGTATGATTCAGATAATTAGAACCTTTAGACTGAAAAAACCTGAATTTTCAAACTTATAAATCCATAAAAAATTAAAAAAGTTTATCAAATTGAGGCAAGGGAAATAAAAAAAAAACACTAACTCAGATAAACTCGCACACAACGCGTGCCCCCACAAAAGGTATCCTCCCGACCGGGGCAGCTTCTGTCACAGATGGGCTCTTCAATGTAATCCAGGCATGAAGTCGATTTGTGGCCGTAGCAGCAACATTTATTCTGGAATTGAAATATACATCTAACTTAGGGGCAGAGTTCGCTCAGTTTGCGCTGTTCAGAATTGAATGAAATGAGAGAGGATGTCTGTCTTAGATTCTATTATAACCTCTATCTAGTTGTTACAACTTCAGGCACACGGTTAAAAATTTGTTGAAAGGAATTTTGATTTCTTATTCAATTAGTTGTTATTTATCAGGAAAAAATATACAAATTTCAAATAATAGCATGCATGGTCTTTGCGATACATAGCAGACAACAGTTTATTAATTGAAGAACGATGCATTGAACAAGCTCAGTGTGTAGCAAATAACGTTACGCAATAAGCAAACAGCATTCGTGAAGGAAGGTTGAATCAGAAAAAATATGATTAAAAGTAAAAATAAAAAAGTATCTAGAAAATATCAAAAACAGTGAAAATGGTGACATCTGACCGATGTGACGACGGTGATAGGCAGACTCATTTCGAAGCAGACCCTGATGCAAGTCGTGATGGTATGCTTCTCACCTAGGCTCCGACAGTTGCCCCGCCCGTACGTGTACATGCTTATGTAGTCTCTCAAATGGCAAAGTTCATGGGTCACTGGTTCTCGTACTGACGGGTAGAGTTTGAAATTTTCTTGTTCGTTTTTATTTAGATTTCTGATTATTTAAAAAATTTTGAGTTTGCCTGAAAAATATCACGTCGAATGTGTGAATATTGATAAGCTCTTCTCAAAATTGAATGTTCAACTAGAAAACAGAAACATACCCCAGTAAACTGATGTATATTTACTGCCACCGCAATAAACACTCTCTCCTGGACACTTTATATTGCAAAGTTTTGAGGTCACTCTCTTTTCCGTCCTATCTATGCACAAGCAGTTGTTGCCGTCCTAACCGTGACAACACAATTTTTCAAATTGGAGATTTGTAGTATTCATTAAAAATATATTTCAAAAAGAATAATTACAAAAAAAAAACAAAAAAAAAACTCTTCATTTAATATGTTTCTGAAAAGTTTGCGTCTAATCAGAGCGTTTGTTGATCATTTTTTAGCAGTTTCTCCACTGGTCGCATCCGTAATTTATCAAATATTTTTGAATTCTTAAAGTTTATTGGCTCAAGCATTCAATGGAGCTTTTTGGTGAATTTTCAGAACGTGTAAGTTTTTTAAATCTTACTAAACTTACAAAAAAATACGAAAGATATTTCAAAAAAATACTAAAAAAATATTATAAATAGAAACTTAAAAAGGCCAATTTGAATATTGCAATTTAGCATGAATCTATTTCGCAATCAGATTTAAGAAAGAACTGCAAAAAGGTTCACAGCCAGTAGCAATACGTACAACATCATCGTCGTCATTATCACTATCACCAATTATCACAAGCAAAAAAACCCAACCTTAACGCCAATGAGATTTGAATTGGTGTGAAGAAGGCAGTACTGGAAGCATCCGAGTCTGGTAGCGGCCACAGTGGCGGTCGAGCTGAGAACGTCGTAGAAACAGCCCACGTGGTAGATCGACTCATCTATATTATGTATTTATTATAGATTTAATCTCAATACCCATATTTTTATCCCTAGCCGAAGATTTTTTTTTACGTTTTTCAACAACAATAATTGAAATATATGTAATTTTTCCTGTTTCGACTTAAACACTACATCTACGTGATGCATTAGAACGTGTTATCAGATACAAAATAAAAATTTTTTTGACAATATGTCGTAAGATTACCGATATTATCTGTGTGAAGGATTTTCAAAATGACAAGAAAGAGAAATAAAATTAACATTTAGTTTAAAATAAACTCTTGGCTAGAAAAAAAAATTTAAACATGAAATTTCTTTCCGTATATTTAAACAAATTTGGAGTTTTGTTTGTTTTCATGAATCTAAACGTCAGCTCTGCGTTTAATTTATTTTTAATTTTTTTTTGAAAAATTTAGAATAGATTAGTCGATGAAGTAATTCTTATTTAAACCTACCTAAAATGAGTTTCTTATTGTTTAAAAATTTCATACCTATTTCGCATCACAAACACATAGAGCATGTGATAGAGGAGGATATTTTTACGTTTGACCGCGGTTCTTAACAATCACACCATCGCAAAGCTAATGAGTTATAAAATTTAAACATAGTTTAGAACAGGGGTGGGCAAACTACGGCCCGTATTCGGCCCGCGAAGCTATTTTTTATGCGGCCCGCGAGGTCTTGTGTTCGCCAAAAAATGGTCGTGAGTCAGACATTATGACCAAAAACCAAAAAAAGGAGCCAAAAATTTTAAACAAATTCTTCCTCGGGTCGAAAAAAAGTTTGCTATTTAAATACATATGCGGCCCTTTAAAGATAAAATAGTTCTCAATGCGGCCCTTACAGCAAAAAGTTTGCCCATCCCTGGTTTAAAACAGTTTAAAAATAGTCTCTCAAGAGTTTGAATAACGACAAAAGAGATTTATTGAAAAGGTACAAGAAGCGCAAGGAGAGCCAGTTGGGTTGAAATGCCGTTAAACTGCACAAGCACAAGATTTAAACACAACGTTGAGAGAGAACTACTGTAAAATTTATTTCTCATCTATTCGTATCATGTTTAAAGAAAAAAATGATTCATTTAACTTAGAGCAATATATAATTTTATCAAATATATAAATATAATCATTAATTGTTAAATATTTTTTGAAATAGAAGAAACCTAGAAAATAACACTACTCAGTTACTATGTTATTAAATACTAATGTAGAAGTGATAAATACTAAATAAATATAATGCACAGGCGCCGACTTTGAAGGTGCGAAAGCAGACCACGGCCCTTTTCGACCCCTCCCAAATAGATCAAAATAGGGAAAAACCTCAATGTTACCCTTTCGCCAATATTTAAAAAAACCTACCCTTGTTAGACTAAATTTTTGCTAAATTTTCGGTAACCAGGCTACCGTGATTATAGATTTTCTGCAACTCAACCATTTTCGCCTTTCTTAAAATTTTCACAAATCGGCGCTTTTGTGTGCGTGTTGAATATACACACATATGACCAATTCTATATGTACATTTGTGTGTGTGTGCGTGTGTGTATGTGGTGTGCGAGGTCATCCCAAGTTTGATTGCATATTAGTTCACCACAATGTTTTCAGCATATAAAATAAAGTATCACTAATTTTTTATCCCATCATTATCATTAACAATATTATTTTCATCATCATGTAAGCGATAATGGTAATAACAACAACAATAAAATTAATGACAATAATAATGTTTATAATAATATTAACAATAATAAATAAAGATAATTATTTATTATTGATAAAAAAATAGCTTTATTTTCTCCTATTCCACGTATACGGAATTGGAGTAGCCTTTGATTTCATGCGGGCCTCCACTCTTTCTATTCATTAACGTCTGAAGGTTAGGAAAAAACGTTGTCGAAGATGGTAACGGAAGTGGGGACGGTTTTTCTTGGTCGGGTTTGTTGTTGTGGCTAACTTTCACTACTGATGAGAGTGGCTGCGTTTTGTTTTTCTTCTCGTCCAGCTGTTTTTTTTGCGATTGGAAAATTGTTAAAAATATTGGTAAAATAGATGTTGGCTTAGTGCCTGCGTCTCGTTATGTCTCGTTATATCAAACGTTATATCTCGCTATATCGAACGTTACATTTCGTTATATCAAGTGGCACGTGGTACCGTCTCGTTTCAATTGAATCGAAATTCCGATATCGTTTCGTATCATTTTCATATAATGAGACGCAGATGTTTAATTTTGCTTCTTATTCAGTTGATTATTTTGCTTCTTATTTAGTTGATTTTTTTTCTGAATGTCATTCAGTCAAGTATATATAGAGATTTGATTTTTTGAAAATTGCGCTCGTATTTAAAACTTAGAAATATACTTTAAATAAAAAATGCCTCTTCAATAAATTTTCCTAACAACGAATCTATTATAATTAAATAATCTATTAAATTATAAAACAACATAGAAATAATTAACAAATATATTAATTTTATAAAAAAAATAAAATGCCAAAATATTACGTAAACCTTCTCGGGAATTTCCAATCCGGTATTTGTGTAATAGATGAGAATGATCCTTCTCGTTGTGAGGATAACTCCTGAGAAATAGATGACAGACGATACGCTCCAGACTCCGACAACCAGTCTGTACCAACCTTTGAACATCGAGTCGTTGTTTTCGCCTGGTCGGTTTTTCGGTTTTTAATGTTTTTAACTATTTTTTTTTAATTTAATTTTTGTTTGTTCGTTATACTTTTATTTCTATTTTTTGTCTATTGTTTTGTTATTATGATCGTTGAGGTTGCCATCGCGTTTAACTAACATTAGCAGACGTTTTTCAATATATCCAAATCTCTAGACTGCTATTCAGGCATTTATCAAGAAGACATGCACTTAAATCTGTCTATGTGTGTGTACACTCAAATTTACCCAGACATACACTCGAATCTATCTAGACACACACGCAAATCTATCTAGACACACACCCAAACATTCATCCAGACATCTATCCAGACATCTATCCAGACAGACAGACAGACAGACAGACAGACAGATGGACAGACAGACTAACCTGGCATAAACTCTCCAGGTCCAATAAACACGATTGAGATGATGGACAGCACGCTGCCGTAGTTCAAGGTCGGATCGATTGCGCAAAAGATCCCACCGGATATGACGGAAAATATCAGGAAACCAATTACCACAAGAATTATTGACCGAACGAGGTGAACCTAGAAGGGATCGATTAGTTATATCTCGTTAATTATTCAATTATCAGTCATTAGTTAACAATTTAGCATTTGTTCTCTCTCTTTCTCTCTCTCTCTCTCTCTCTCTCTCTCTCTCTCTCTCTCTCTCTCTCTCTCTCTATCACACACACAACATATACACACACGCACGCACACTCAGACAACACACGCACACAAACTAACTAACATACCCATCCGGAATCTCTATAATTAGCTTTACTCCAGAACTTTCTCCTGATCCAGTCACTGACCTTGAGGAGCTGCTCGCCCATACCGAATACCACGACAACGAATATCGGTATTCCGAGTATCGCGTAACAGATCACAAAGGCTCGACCGCCAGTCGTTTTTGGCGAACTCGTACCGAAACCTTTTTTATGCGTTTGAAATTTATTAATAGTTTATATTATAATTTTTATTTATAATTTTATAATTTATTATATATTATAATTTATATTAATAATATATATTTATGATTAATTGGTATGATTGTTTTAATTATTAATCAATTAACTGATTGATTGATTACAATTGTGATTGTTATAACAAATTGATTTGCCGTTATAATAATATTAAAACAATTGTAGTAATCATCATCCTCATTGTCATCAACATCATCATCATCATCATCATCATCATCTTCATTAAATCGTCATCATCATCATTATCATCATCATCAATATCATCATCATGTTACCGCTATCATCTCATCATCATCATCATCACCATCATGACCAACCCACTCCGCTGGCCACTTGGAGAGCAGTGTATATACTGGATTGATAGTCCCATGATGTTCCGTAATCACCTGATGGCTGGTGATGATGATGATCATTACGATGACGATGTTGATGATGATTATCATGTCAATGATGATGGTGGTGGTAGTGATGGTGACTATAAAGCCGATAATGATGACAAAGCACAGAGCACATGTTGATGTACGTGTAAGAGCATGCATCCTTCGTCCAATCTAATAGACTGGGAACTCCTTGCAATCGATACAGGTCACAGCAGTTTCAGAACCAGGTACCTTCACCATTTAACCGTCACCAACAAGCTAGTTAGTTATATTGAATTATTTCAACCTTATACTTAAGTCCTCCGTCTAGAAGTTTCTTCAGAGTGTAGTACAAAGTCTTTAGGTCTTCATTAGACAAACATAGGTTCGAATCTAGGTTAAGGTTTAAAATAATTTACTAATGTAAAATATGGTTTTCCATGATTTTGAACAAACATTTTAATTGATTTTAACATTAAATTTAACTAATTTTTAACAATATTTGGATGTTGTTGGAAGTTTTTGACTTAGTAACGGTTAAAAGTTTGAATTTTACATTTCTTTGATAGGGGATCAACTTTTTTTTCTAAATAAAGTTAACCTATCTTCAATTTTTTTTTCAAAAATCAAGAAAAATAACTCTAACCATCAACCATTTTATCATCACCATCATCATTTCATCATCATATTCATGACATAACCATGACACCCACCCACCTGTGAAATTCTTGAACCTCCTGGTGATGAGGTCTGCCTGTGCCCACTCGTTCTTGTTCTCTATACCATACAGAATCACACCAGCAATGACCACAATCACGAATTGAAGAAACACCAGGCCAACTATAAAATACCACTTGATCATCCCGTTCTCCTATCTATACTGTGATACTACCTGAAAGACGAATGGAAAGTTTATTCTTTAATAAATGTTAAAGTTATAAATGAAGTACTTAAAAGTGATTTTTGTTATTAGGGTGAAGTATGGTGTAGGATATGGAGCAAGGGGGGGGGGCGTTCGGTCACCCCCGGGTGCCTCTACCTCTTGTTACACCCCTTGTTGCCTCACTTGGAATATATTGATAAAAATTTTCAATAAATTTTAGTAGGTTTGCAGTTATTGCTATATGTATACATTAACCTTTTTGTTTGTTTGTATGTTTGTATGTATGTTTGTATGTGTGTGTGTGTGTGTGTGTGTGTGTGTGTGTGTGTGTGTGTGTGTGTGTGTGTGTGTGTGTGTGTGTGTGTGTGTGTGGTTGGTTTTAAAATGCAAATTATACACTTTATTTAAAATTGATTTCTGACAAATAATGTAGTTGTTGAGTGATCGTAGAATGTCTAGATATTTATAAAAATTAGAGCGTTTTTGTTGAAATAAAAATTAAAGAAATGAAAATAGTATTAATATTTAAAGAGTTCGTTTAAAATAATAATAGAATCAAATCAAAGTTACCAGAAAATGAAGTTTAATAAATCGATCAATCCCCTTCTTACATATTTACAAATTTGAATCTTTTAAACGAAAAATAAAGTAGGATTGTTTAAAATTTTAAATAAACTTTCCGAAATTAAAAAATTATTAATTAACCATATATTAATAATTTACATATGTGACACGACAAACATATACATACGCACATACATACGCACATACATACATACATACATACATACATACATACATACATACATACATACATACATACATACATACATACATACATACATACATACATACATACATACATACATACATACATACATACATACATACATACATACATACATACATACATACATACATACATACATACATACATACATACATACATACATACATACATACATACATAAATACATACATACATACGCACTTAATCGATTATCCCCTAGTTAAACAATGCTTAGACAAGCTAAACAATGCCAGCTTGTGTTCAAATGCATGGCTTAAACTCATTTAGTAGATAGTAATATGACAAAGTCATTATACCTTAAATATGTTCAAGTACTGTAATTGTGAAATTAACAATAATAATAAAAATTTCCAATATTTAATTATTATTATCATCAATATTATTATTCATTATTATTATTATTTAGAATAGTTGTGTTGAATAGTAGATAATGGTAGGAGCGTTTTCGTTGGTATGCCTTCATTGTACACCCGTTGGGAGTTATTTTTATTATACCTTTATTTTTTTTTTATTATTAATTTTTATTGTACACGATTTCGGTGAAGAATATCTTAAATATACCACAAATGATACAACTCAATCAACTTTCACTGATAATAATAATTTGAGATAGTCCGGATTGTGAATCCGAAAGAGTAGCTGATCGAAGACAGAGAACGTTAAGAATTTTTGAGAAAAATTTTAATTTTTTAGAGTGAAAAACAAACCATTATGAAGATTATCCATTTCTTTCCAATCTCCATCCAAATCTTTATCTCTTAAAATCCAAATAACATTCAATCATTTGTTCAATTTGTGCTTTTACAACAGCCACAACGGCCAAAATTTATTTCCTGCTAATTAGAATAAAAAAAACTTTTTTCTGGAAACCAAAAATAATGTCTCCTGGAACGTAAGTTGCCATACTTGCCCTTTAAAAAGGGCTAAAGCCGAAACCGGGCCATAAATTTCCACCGAATTTTCGGTATGTTTCAAATAAGGACGCGTAATATAGATTTGTAATGAAGCGTTCATCGCTTACGTTTTTGGTTTTTCGTTACGTCTTTGTTGTTTCGATATTTTTAATCTATTTTTTTTAATTTTTGGTGATTTCTGCTTTATTTTTTTAAAAGAAAAATTTTGAAAATCGAAATAAAACGACTAACTATATGCTAAATAATTCATGAAAGGAGAAATAAAAGTTATCAATAAAACAACATAATTAAAGAAACACGAACAAGGTCACTTAAACTTTGACGCAACTTTCAAACACTGTCTATAGAAATGTTTGAAATAATGAAATATTTGAAAAATGAAAGTAAAAACACCGGTTTTATTTCTTAATATTCCCTGATTTGTGTATGTAGTATGTACAGTGTATGAAGTATATGTGTGTTTGTGTTATGTGTGTGTGTGTGAAATGATAAATTAAAAAAGTATTAAAAATGAAAATGTGGCAAACATATAATTATAACTAGTTTGGAGGGGCTGGTTAATTAATTATTATAACTGAGTGTCGAGATGGGCTAATGATTAAGGCACCTCTTCTTTTTGCTCCACTGACGAGTTTGAATGTGTGTTTGTGTTTGTGTGTGTACGTGTGTGTGTGTGTGTGTGTGTGTGTGTGTGTGTGTGTGTGTATGTGTGTTGTAATACCTCTATGATTTTTAAAAGATAAATAACAATAATAATGTTTAAGCCTACTTGAACTCAGAAGTACCTTTTCTAAATTCCAGGTTATAATTATGGGGAATTGTACAAGGTGGTAACATTGGTGCTAACTTCTGGCTATGAAACTTGTTGATTTTATGGCCGTTTAAAATGTGTCTCCCTTATTCCATAACCATACAATGATGTTACCAATGTTTTTTTTTCCAGATTAATTTATTGACAGTGACAATGATTACGACTTTATATGCTGAAGCTGCCGACGGTTATGATGCATGAAATGAAAAAATTTGATTGTTTGTGTGTGCGTGTGTGCGTGCGTGCGTGCGTGTGTGTGTGTGTGTGTGTGTGTGTGTGTGTGTGTGTGTGTGTGTGTAGGTGTATGCACTCTATAATTATTACTGTTACACGTTTTTCATTTTGAGATCTAAGCAAACTTCATTTAATGCAGTAGAAACCTATTTAATGGCTACAAATTATCAAGAGGCTATATGACTTAAAACAGATTAAACAATTTTTAAATGAAAAAAATATCAAAAATATTAAAAATAATTTCCGTCTAGATCATTGTACTGCACGCATTCGCACCCCCATCAGCCCTATAACTACCCACATTACCATCATCGTCGTCGTCGTCATCATTAATGTTGTTATTGATGTTGTTGTTGTTGTCGTCGCTGTAAGAAGTTGTGGCAAACCGGTGGCTGGGAAGTTTGGAAGGTAGGGAGTCGGGGAAGAAGATGGGCAAGTTGATGAGGCCGGTGTCGTCGAGCTTGTTGGCGGAGTTTCTGCAATGTTAGGAGAGAAAAAAAATGTTGTACAGAAAGAAAAATGTTTCGTGAAGTCAGCATACCTAGGGAATGTTTTCAAGTATTTTGTAACACGGATAAACGAATGGTTTATGGTTTTAAATATTCTTGTTTTTAATATATGGCGTAAATAAGATTTTAAAAAAAGTTGGTGACCTTGGTTAGCTTATTGCGTTTTTTTGTTCATTAAAACCAAAAGAAAAATATTTTCAAACTACTAAGTGATATTATTTTTCTTATGGGGGGGGCCTTTAGTTTGTGGAGCCCGGAACTGTAGGGCCCTGTCTGCCTTGCTTTTAGTCCGGTTCAGTCGGAGACAAGACCGTCTTCTAGAAAACCAAACATTGGAAAATTGAATTTAAAATAAACAACAAAATGACCTTTTCGAGACAGCGGCCGAGAGTTTACTCTTAACGTTTGAGAGTCTGTTGAGTTTGCTGCTACTAGCAAGCTCCAACTTTGTGGTACTCTGGCCAGACATGTCGATCGTAATGGCTGCCATGTAGGAGAGGGCTGACTTGATCGAGGGCTTTGCAGAGACTGTTGGTGGTGTTGCGAGATTTGTTTTAATTTCTTTAAACATTTTTTAAAATCTTGAATCTATTACGTTTTGCTATAAGTTTACTGGAATTTGCAATGATTTATGATATTATGAATGAGATATTTAAAATGGGATAATGCTAGGATGTCGGATTTCCGACATCTCAATAAACTTTAGACTCGGATCGAATCCGCTTCTGAAATATTCTGGATAATTCGATAAAAATACACTGAATGGAAGTAAAGTTATTATGGCAATTGAATAGGATTACTAAAAAAATTAACTGGACAGAAGCAACATAAGAAAATTATTTGAATAAAAATTATGTTTAAAAAAGTCTCCAAAGTAATCAAAAAAAAAGAAATGTACAATACTTGATCGAATACAAGTAACGTTATAAAGTGATCATATATGAAGAATCGGATCGAATACAAGTAACGATATAAAAGTGGTAATATACAAGTATCGGATCGAATAGATGTCACCGAAACACTCACTCCTAATGGGATGGCACATTCCTATTTCGTCCGTAGTTGCACCCTTTCTACAGCTGAGGTTTTGCAAACTTTTGACCTCCGTCTGGTATGAAAAAAATAACTTGATACGCATGCTAAAAAAACTAGAGAGACATTCTTTATGGTATAATTCTGTTTTTAAATAAATAAATGAAAATAAATAATCAGCTTCATCGAACTTATTCTTTTTATTTTTATTACCGTTTCATCATTTAAAGTTGTAATTTTGAAATGAAACATTAGAATGAGTTGTAATGGTGTAAATTTATCAGAAAATTTCAATCATTTAAATTATCTAAAACAATCAAATTTTTGTTTCGATTTAGATTCGAGATGAATTAATAGTAAGTCAGAGTATAATATTTTATAAAAATGTTTCAGTTAAGTTAAAATTTTAGTTACAATCTTTTGAATGCCATAAAAGCAGCCCGCTAAATTTATAAATAAATGAAAAACAAAGGTACAATTTTCTTATAAAATCTAGAATAAACTGTTTCAAACTTTAGTAATTCTATTTTGAAATTACAAAATTGTTAATCTGAGAAACGAAAAACTTAAAAAAAAACCCAAAACTGTTAATTCTAAAAACGAAAAACCCAAAAAAAAACCTGTAAAAGGCGATTTTCAGTGGCGCAGTTAGCCATCCTGATATCCGCTCTCTTCTTCATCCTCTTCAACAACATGATCCTAAACTCTCTCCTCTTCAGTTCAGTCAGCATTATACCTTTGGGGAGAAAAAAAACTTAAAATTTTTTGTGAGCGTATATTTTTACAGTTGTGTCTGTAGATAATTTTTAAATTGTATCGGGAACAAACTAAAAACGTTTGTAAATTCGCGCATAAATCAAGAAGTAATACACATAGCATATGATGGATCGGAATCTCTTGTAATTGAACCAGATCAGTGGATTACTTTTTGCTCTTCATGTTATTTTTTTAAACTCAATTGTATAATTTGATTGTTTGAATTGAATTGGATGAAATTGACAAACTTTGAAATTTCAAATAAAAAGGTTAATTAGAAGTCATTTCTTTAAACACATTTATATCATTTGTAACATCCTTTTATTTTCTAACTCCAAATACCAAATATCAATAATGAAATATTATATAATCCTATTAATCTAATCAACAGCATATTTCCCATTTGATGGTTTGAGCTTGTTTGGACGAAATAGACAGATTTCAAAATGTGGAAAAACAAATTTCATCCCAACCATTAAACATCCTGACAATCTGCCAGAGCAGTAGAATGACAATTACAGCCTCAGTCGCATCGCTTTCTATGACGTCCCTGTACTTCAAGATGTCGAGTATGAAGGAGAGGGTGCTGACCACAGCGTCCAATACCTTTGAAATTTTATTTTCCGAAATTGCATAGCCTATTATTTATTTGGTTTTTGAAAATTCAATATATTAAATTAATTGATTGTTATTTTTAAATTTTATCTGGTTTATCTAAACTTGCTTCTGTTATAATTTTCAGTACAAGTTTAAGGTCTTGTTCAAGGTCTTGCATATTTTTTTAAAATGTAAAAAGGGGAGGGATAAATTGAAATAATTTTATTTGGCATTAAACAGAATTTAGAAGAATTTATATTTGTCAAACGATTTAAAATTTTCAAGTTCATCATCTGCTGGTTAAGTTGTTTCAAAATTTGAACGAATATTTTTAAAAAACTAAAAAAAACCTACAAACGAACATTTGTTAAAGAAACCCTAATAAAATATATTTTCGATTTGGTTGTCTGTCTTGCGAATAAACACGCAAGTCATTATAATAAACCAGGGGTGGGCAAACTTTATGCGGTGAGGGCCGTATTGAGAACAATTTTACCTTTGAAGGGCCGCATATGTACTTAAATAACAATTTTTTTCGACTCGGGGGAGAATTTTTTGAAGATTTGTGGCTTTTTTTCTGGCTGACGACCTTTTAGTTGGGCGAACAAGGCCTCGCGGACCGCATAAAACAGCTCCCTAGTTTGCCCACCCTGTATTAAACGAAACGAGACGAAATCGTAACTACACCATATGATCAGCTAAAATGAACAGCTAACCTCCATATACTGTTTGAAGTAACGCAATCCCACCGCAAACATTCTCAAAAATGCCTGAAAGAGAAATGTAAAGAGCTTAAATCCAACATTTTAAATGCAAAAAATAGTTTTTATAAAAAAAATCCTATAAAATCCCAAACAAATCTTGGAAAAACCTTGAAAAAAAAATCCCGAACAACTCCTAAAAAAATCCCAAACCAACCATCACTACGAAAATTCCCAGGATGATGATGCTGGCCATGTTGAGGGCTTTCTCTGCCATTTCTAGATGTTCGATGGTTGGATTTTGGTGGGTGTGGCCTTCCCTGTTGATTGACGTGAGGCCGACCGAATGTTGTTCTTCGGACTGATCACCGCTTGATGGCGCTTCTCCTGTTTTTGAGGTTAAGTTAACTTTTGTAGTGGCGTAAGTAACTTATGTTGAAATTAATTTTAATAAGATGTAATTACATGTAAAGTTTGGAGATATAGAAATTGAAATCTTGATGGTGACTTATTTCATTGCATTCTATACGTACCCTTCAAAGTAGCACAGCATACAAAAATGCCTCCATCGTAATTTACATTATCATCTTCATCATCATTATCACCATTGTCGTCATCATCATCGTCATAGTATTCGTATTTGTCGTCATCATCATCATCGTCGTCATCATCATCATCGTCATCATCATTTTCAATTATATCTTTTTTTGTTCGGATTTGTTTCATTTTCCCACGAGGTCACACACACACACACACGCACGCACGCACGCACACACACACAATTGATCGTTATCGTTCTAATACTTATCTGATGCTTGAAATATCAATCACATAGTAGAGCTTAGAGCAATAAAAAAAATACACTGTAACTCAAACTTTTTGTAAGCCCTTCTGTAATTATTTTTATTTTAGAAAATGAGTAAAATTATTTTTTACTTTTTTATTATTGTTTATTGTTTTACAATTAAATATTTTTGTACTCCTAAACAAATCCCAAACCAACCATGTTAATTAATTAATTAATTAATTAATTAATTAATTAATTAACTAATTAATTAACTAATTAATTAACAGTTTAAATATCAGTATTTCAATCTGATGTATAGACGATAATTAAACTTTACATTACTAAAAACCACAAACTAAATTAAATAAAAAAAAACCCAACCTTCCGACTGGTTTAGAATTAAAATTAATTAATTAATTAATTAATTAATTAATTAATTAATTAACAGTCCATACATCAATATTTAAATCTGATGTACATAAAAACGATAATTAAACTTTACACAACCCCAAATTGGAATTAAATAAAAAAATAAACCCAACCTTCCGAATGTCCTGATCGGACGTCACTGGAAACAAAATGGGAGTTGGGTTTTGGGTGGCTGTCGGGACTGTTGCCGCTGCTGCAACCGCTGCTGATGCACGTGTGGTTGATGGTTTGGACGATGGTGGTCAGTTCTGACATTGGCTCGAGTTCTAACAAACCGGTCAACGAGTCAAATGTAGTCTTCAGGACCTCGCTTATTTCTTCTTCTGATACTGTTTTTTGGGAGGTTTTGGAATGTTTTTAAATGATTGTGTGTATGTGTGTTTGTATGTCTAATTTAAATGTGATTTATTTAAATGTGTGTGTATGTGAGTTTGTATGTCTGTGTAGTTTTGTGGTATTGTTTTATTTAGGTCTAAGAGGTTCTCATAACCTTGAAAGTCTTAAAAAATAGTATAAATTTTGTGTTGAAATGAAGGTTTTGTATAAATTTAGTATAAATTTTGTGTTGAAATGAAGGTTTTGTTGATTTGTCAAACAATTAACCAGAATTCACTGTATAGCGTGTATTTATAAAATCATATTAATTAATATGTTATTAGGTTAGTAATTTTGGTACTTCATGAGAGCTTAAAAAATATGTGTGGAAGTGTGTTTGTATGTGTATTGTGTGTGTGTAAATGTGTGTGTTTACTGTTTACATTTTTGTGTTTTTGAGCGTATGTCTATGTCAGTCTCTGTGTGTGTGTGTATGTGTGTTTGTATGTCTGTGCTTGTGAGTTTGATAAGAAAATAGGATTTACTTTTATAAATCTGCAGCGTCAGGATGATCTCGGTTATGACGATGGCCACGTCAATGAGAGCCAGAACCAGGAGGGCTATCTGCAGAGGAGTGTAGTCGATGACGCTTTCTACAGATTCTTGGGCTCTGTTTTAAAAGTTTGTGGTGAAAAGAACGTTTTAATTTGTTTGTCGGTGAGTTGACCAAAATCTTTAAAAGTTCTCAAAACCTTGAAAGTCTTAAAAAATAGTTTAAATTTTGCGTTATTGTTTTATCTAGGTCTAACAGGTTCTCATAACCTTGAAAGTTTTAAAAAATAGTATAAATTTTGTGTTGAAATGGAGGTTTTGTTGATTTGTCATACAATTAACCGAAAACCTAAAAAGATCAGTTTTTCAAAACCTAAAATATCTTGTTCTGCGTAAATGTTGTAGCAAGTAGATAAGCGGAGACTAAAGACAAAATTTGAAAATATCAAACCCACGATGCCTATGAATAGAAATATACTACGTAGTCTTCTTAAGGGAGTGAAGAGTCTCGATGAACCCAAAAACCCTTTTTAGATCCAATATTTGATCACTAGATTAAGTTACCTTAGGGATAACAGGCTAATAATTTTTTAGAGTTCTTATCAACAAAATTGTTTGGCACCTCGATGTTGGCTTAAGGAACCACCAGACTAAAGTTTGAAAATATCAAACCCACGATGCCTATGAATAGAAATATACTACGTAGTCTTCTTAAGGGAGTGAAGAGTCTCGATGAACCCAAAAAGCAGTATGTATCAATACATGCATGGAAACAATTTATATTCAGTTTGGTGTGACTACACCGAAAGAGCCTAATCGAGGTACCGCTTCGGGTTAGACAAATTGGGAGTGATTCCACATGTTAACGTTGATTTTGTATTGTTCTTCTATGTTAAATTAAATAAAAGGCGAATCACTTGCAACAACTTGCTGATATGAAGTTGATGATTAGATTATATGGGAAAAAAATACTAAATGTCTAAATTCTGAAAACACACACAAAAACACACACACACATACATACACACACATACACACATACATTAACGACACATTTCAAAAAATTCAATTACAATTAAACGCATGCACTCTCCCACAGTCAGACACCGAATAAATTGAAAAAATTTCGCCGTACGGCACACGCAAATAAAAATAATTATAAACGATACGCCGAGTTCTATCGATGAAAATGAATTTTTCGCAACACGCAAGGTAGGTTACTAATGAGTTTGTAATTTAAATGATTCATAATATAATAATAATAAATATTATAATAATTATTAATATAATTTTTATTATTAGTGTTAATATAGAGTATGAGCGCGATTCGTGGAAAAAATTTTAATTGAAAAAGATTGCGTGCGTGAAATTCGGCGGAGTTCACTCATGTTTAATTTTTTTCTATTTATTTAAGAGAGTCTTATTGAAAATGTCATATTTGATACTTTTGAAGAATAAGCAAGGTAAAATTGTGAAAACGTTTCGGAGATGTCACTGGAAGTTCATGGAAATCATTGGCAATCAGGCTAACATGCTTGGCGGATCCATGAGGGATCCAGTATTTGTATAAATAATCTAAAAAAAGGTCGCTAGCCTAGTTTTGACCACACAAATCCTAGCTCACACGTAAAAATTTCTAAAAATTTAAACATTTTCACAATTTTGGTACGCCGTTAAGGTTGTCTAGATCTGCCACTGTCTGATAACGGTTAGCAGTGAGTATATTGAACAGTGCCAGTGCAAAATTTGAGACTACTTCCACGCTTGGACGAGGTGTCCAAGCATGGGAGTAGTCTCAAATATTTTGCACTGGCAATGTTTTTTCTATACATAATTTTGCAAGAATTTAACGCCAAGGTAGTGTTTTTCAGTTTGGAAACATTCAAAAATATATTAACATATGAAATGTATGATGTTTGTGTGCTTACAACGTTTGTATGTGTTTATAGGTTAATTTAATGTAAATTGTTTGCATCTTCAGTATTCAACTCGTTTGAAATAGTTTTACGAGTGCGCTCTGTATAGGCTAAATAATATCCGAGTGCATATAAACACTGAATAAAGCATGTTTGTCACTTAAACTCATCTTTTGTTGAAAATTAAATATTCTCTACATGCTAAGCACACATGTGTCTGTCTTGGTGCACGTGCACTTGAGTGTTAGTGTGTGCGACCTTCATTAAAACAGCAAAGATTTATAATGTTAGTAAATGATTTATTTACAGAGATTGCTAAGCCGTTTAAATTTGGAATCTGTGTTGTTGCAAAAGGAGAAACACGAGTGCTATACTAATGCTAGTCAGTTCTATGTTGAATATAATTAAGGAACATTCTAATTAGCTAAATAGCAGGCACTAATTAGATTGAATTTGGACAGAATAATCAAAAGCCTCAATAAACTCGATCCTATGGCTGACGCTTAAGCAATTAGAATGTCGGTGTTAAATTTATATTCCAATAAAATTAGTACAGAGTTTAAACATTTATTTTGACTCTCGCAAAATTAAACCATTGTGATTTTTAATAATTTAGCAACCAAATTTGATTAACGAATTCCAACGAGTTATTTAAATAAAATTTAAATAAATTTTAAATAAAAAAGTAGAAGTATCTTCTTACGACAAATTTTTCTCACAACCGTATTATCTGAATTGTTTGTCTTGAACGCTACTAATTTGAAAAACAAACAAACAAACATGGAAACCTGAAATATTTTGCTGTGTGAGCTTGGATACTTAGAAAGCAAATTAGGTACCTTTATTCTCCCACGATCGTTTAATTTAAATTTTTTAAAATCGTAATTGAATTTTTGATAAAATTTACCATTGTGTGATAAAAACAGTTATCAGAAATTTGCACACATGAAATTATTAAAAAATTTAAACATTTTGGTTTCACTTTCGTGGGAATTTTTATGTTTCGAACCTCTCTCGTGGAAAAATTTGCGACCGTCAATGCAAATCAAAAAATAATTCTACAGAAAGAAAATTCGACACAATTACATTCAGTGTAACAGAATTAATCAGAAAAAAGGAGAAGTAATAAGATTGTATAAAGTTTTAACATTTAAACAAGTTAGCTCAGTCGGTAAAAGTGCCATGTCTGGCGCTGTTTCTTGTTATGCAATGGTCTGATTCGAATACTCTTTGTCCGAAACTTATAGATGAGCACACACCGTGCGTTTACAACACTGCTTGCTCGCGTATACAAATTACGTATTTGCCTCGTGTGTTGTGGGTAATACGGCCTTTCAGACATGGCATCTAGCTAAGTATAGAATGATTTGTATATACATTTGTGTATACATTTGTATAGTTTTGTGTATGTCGGACCTACGTAATATGGAGAAAAACAAAGAAATATAAATAAATAAAAAAAAATAAATAAAATCGGAAGAGGGAATAAAAAGGAGCCGACTTGTGGCAGCCGGTTTTCTCGTGGTCCTCGCTTCGATTCTTCTTCTCCTCTTCAGCAATTATCTCCTCGACCACTTCGGATTGGATTCCATCCTCGATGAGGACGTTCGAGAACTTTTTTCCCATCCAACTCTTGCGACGTCTCTGCCTGTTGGAGGTTTTTTTTTTTTTTTTTTTTTTTGTTCATCTATCGATCGATTGATCATCAGTGAATTGTTACATTATTATTATTATTGTTATTGTTGTTGTTATTATTATTTATACAGGTTTTTTTAATACTCATTTTGTGTTTTTTGGAAAATAAAAGCATTCATTATTATTATCATCATTATTATTATTATTATTATCATCATCATCATTATTATTATATCGCTCATTTTGTCTTGTGTCTTCATTTCACTTTTGTTCTTGTACTGAATACCATGTAAAAAGACATTTTTAAAAATATTATTAAATATAAGTTTGGCCACTTATTTGGTTATGAACATTGATTGTAAAACAAAAAAATATTCAGATATGAGACTGTTTTCAAAAAAAACTTCTTAATAAAACAAACATCTTACAAGACGACGTTCATTCTTTCGTTGTCGCTACTGGAGTGAGTCGGGTAGTAGTCGTCTGCATCGCCACCACCTCGGCCACCGCCGACGATCCTCTCATGGGCATCGCAGTAACTGACCTTCCGCTGCTTGGTGGTAATCTTTTCAATGATGTCTTCACTAACGCTCGCCTCATCAACTGCCATCTTTCTTTTTTCCCGCCAATTTTTCAAGATTTCTTCCGGTGAAAAAGTTTTTCTGGTGATGTTTTTTTGGAGTATGTGAGCTGATTTTCACCGTTTCTGATATATTATTTTTTTTTATAAAATTTGTTATTCATTTAAAATTGAAATAGTTAAAAAAAACATTTTCAGAATGTTTCAATAGCAATGACACGCAGACAATAACAGTTTAGATATTTAAAAATAACAAACTCGTTCTTACATTCTAACAACTCGACAAATTCAAACATCGTGAGAGTGAATCGAAGCAAAACTTTCTTTTTATATAACAGTGAAATACGAAACGGGGATACGTGAATGTATGTATGTATGTATGTATGTATGTATGTATGTATGTATGTATGTATGTATGTATGTATGTATGTATGTATGTATGTATGTATGTATGTATGTATGTATGTATGTATGTATGTATGTATGTATGTATGTTAAAATCAAAACTTGATGAGGACACTGAACCGTCAAACATCAAGTAACAAATGGATTAACACTTTGATTTGTCGTTAATTGCACATGTCGGCATTCAGTTGGATATTTTCAAGCACACAGACACGCAGGAACCGCTGCAACAAGCACGAAATGTGGTTAGTTGCGAAAAACAGTTCCCTGCTGTCGCCTGATCTGACGCTGATCATTTTACACATTGCCTTAAGAAATTTAAGGGTGTTGGGGTCCATCGGGCCGAGAACCTCGATACATATTAGCAAGAATTCCATCAAGGGGAGGGCGTTCCCATATTTTTTCATTTTCTCGTCCGCTGCCCTGGCCGCGGCCAAACCGCATTCTTTACTTGTCAGGTTTACATATCGTTCGGCAAGGGTGCCAGGGACCGTAACATCCCACGCCAAACATCTGCCGGCTCTCCAAGGTATTAGTATCCGGGCGCCTACCATCATGCTCAGAAAAGCCGGATGGTTCCTTGAGAACCGGGATTGAAGCCTTGGAGCATACATACATACATACATGTATGTATGTATGTATGTATGTATGTATGTATGTATGTATGTATGTATGTATGTATGTATGTATGTATGTATGAATGAATGAATGAATGAATGATTGAATGAATGAAAATAAACGAATGAATGGACAAACGAACGAATGATTGATTTAATGAATACATAAATAAATGAATGACTAAATGAAATAACAAATTAATAAAAAAAAATAATGAATAATGAAGAAGTTTTTGAGCTAATGAAATCAATATTATCTTAATCGAATCTTTCTTATCGTCTGTAAAACAAATTAGATAGCATGTATGTATCTACATACACCATCGTCAAACATATACAATTATACATGCCAATATCTTGCCATGACAACTATTTTGTCATTTAGACGCAAAATATTTGAAAAGATGTCAACGAACTCACCTCTAAATTACAATTGAAATCCCACCCGCTTACTGCCGTTGAGAGAATATTCACTCAGTTTGTCATTGTATTACTCAGTTTTCACTCGGTTTGTTTGACTCAAAGTTTGCCAGGACAGCGCAAATAACTAAGAAATGTAATCGTAAAATTTGTAAAAATTGTATTTCATAAGGGAAAAGTGTATAATATAAATTAAATCACACATTCAACAGCTAGCAATGACATACATTGACATGCGTCATCAAATGAATTACATGAATAAACCAGAAAAAAAGACTGCAACAGCTTCTACGATGCAGGTGTTCAAAGGCAGACTTAGAAGATTGGGATTTTAATTCCATATTATTAGTCAAAATCGTTCCAGTGGTTCTCACACAGAGATATCTACTGAAGAACTATATTCCTTGTTATCTTGTATTTTCATGCAGAACTCTGAAATGCCCTATCAGAAAATAATAAAAACTTTTATACATATATATATTATATATATATATATATATATATATATATATATATATAGAGAGAGAGAGAGAGAGAGAGAGAGTTCATATACGGTGATTTGGTCAAATGTTCTGAGAGGTTTGTCTGATCTTGAGCTGAAGTGACCGAGTTCAAACGCAGGAGATAACTATCTATCACAAACGACGTGTGTCTAGCCCTAGATAAACTAATTAAAAATGAAGACCACTGCAGATGCATTTCGTTATCACGCTTCATGAAATAGAGTTGTTCGAAAAAAAAATTGCCAAATTCTCCAAGACAAACCGATTTTATTATTTTAATCCACAAGTCCAGATCTCGCTAACCAAGTCAAGTATTTCAATACTTATTCCATATTTTTAAAGAATTTTTGATTGCCAGCAGTATTTTAACAAGAATTTTATCCTAAAAATATGTTGAAGGATCATTGTTTTTCTTGTAGAGGCCCCTGTTTTGTGGGAACTTCAGACCGGCCCTCTTTACAAATCAGCATTTGAATAGAAGAACCTTATTTATTTGTGTTGCATGTGTTGTATATCTGTGTCGAATGTTATGTATATTATATTTTTTATTCTAGAAAAAAAAACTATCTCAAAATATTTTTTTTAAATAACGAACGTTGCCTAGCTTGATGACGCTTACAACTTATGCTGTGTTTAGTAAACAACTCTGTTTTGTTGTTATTTTTTATAAAAAAATTTTTCAACTCTACGTAAGGATTATTTAAAAATTTGAAGGAATTAATGAGTTTCAGTCAACTATTGAGTCAAAGTTTAATTTTTAAATGCATTTTACTGCTTCTATGTTCGATGTCCACCAAAGTGAAAATTGCTGAAACCGTACCATCGGATAAATTCCGTGAGTAAATTTAATAAAATTTTCTTTGAAAACAAAATCACTAGGAATTTTACGACATTTGATTAATAATGTGAATAAGATACACGATTGTTAAAATGTACCTGCTACTTCATAACCTTAAAATATTTTCGAAGAAGGAACAACGTTCGTTGGCTGTTACAGAAATATCTACTATACTGCCACACAAACACCTTCAGAATTAGATGAATGTGTTGCTTTTTGCGCAAAATTTCAATCTACTGGACAGAGTTTCCTAGTTGGAATAAATGCAAATGTGAAGTTTTGCTTTCTGTTTAGTTTATCAATATTCCTTAATTAAAAAATAATTGTTTAAAATTTTATGAAAAAAATAGATAAGATATATTAAATTAATGACAGTACATTATTTTTGTTAATCGCAAATAAATTGTTAGCATTTAAACGCCTAAACTGATAATTTTTTTTAAATATTCCCAGAAAATAAATAACTCATCATGTTTTTGCGTGATTCATATGGAGATTTCGATGAACCAAATGGTATATTCATCGGAAACTTGTCACAATATTTACTACGTCCGTGCATCCGCGACCTATCGTAAGATCATTTTTCACTGTCAATATTGTATTATAAATTATCATTGAAGCTAAATAACACGCACGTACGCACACACACATACACACACACAAACACACACACACATATATATATATCGTATTCATATTTCATACTTTGTTACAAATGAAGTATAATTTCAACTACCTAAGCGAGATTAATTAAAAAGTATGAAACCAAATTTGGAATTGAGACAACAAGCTATTTAGAAACAGTCTCGACAAAAATACTTTTACCTCTGGTTTCTATTGACCAGTGCTTATCAACCTGTCATGCCCAGTATTATGATTTCGCAAGTTTCCCCATGGAAAAACGTGTATGTAGTTGTTTTTTATTCAATATAGAATTTAGAATATCTGTAACGTAGTTAAATGATATATTTTATTTACCATTTTAAACATATTTGTACTCATTCGACGACGCCACTCACATTTTTTGGTTGGATCAACTTTATTAAGTCAATAATTTATTATTTCTCAAATGGTAAGTGAAGAATTTTTGTTTTGTCTTTCAGTCTGATCGTCAAGGACAATGCTCTTGTTACAAAATCAATGAAACCATGTCGAGTGCAGCTGAAGCGCATGACGGATTTGCTGATGAAAGTTATTATACAGGTTTAATTTTCGTTCTACATTTCTACTTTCATCGCTGTTCATTTAAATGTTGTTGAAATCGTAAATTTTATATCCAAACTGAATAGTAAATTTAATGTCTTTTGGAAATACGAGAATTATTCGTACTAACATGATGTATAATATGGACAATGGATGATCAGATATTTTGAAAGTTAGATTTTTTTATCACGCTTACTTCACATGTTTGCCTGTTCTTCGTTCGTTCGTTCGTTCGTTCGTACGTTCGTTTCCTTAATTAAAATCTTGTAATCTCTCCATCGTCCGATTTCAACTTTTAAACTGAAACCTTGTACTCAAAGCTTATAAGCCACAACTAAATTGCTGATGCTCTTTTCATTTAAATTTGTACATTCAACGTCTGACAGTTTTGGGTGTTTTTTATAAATTATTAGTAACTAGCGAGTGAAAAAAATGTTATGATTATCTCACGTGATGTGTGGGCAAGAGCGCGGTTTAAAAATCTTTTCTGTTTAAGTTGCTTCATTATAACAAAGAGGAGACACTGTTTGACGAATAAGTAAATATTTGAATAGCGTCAAACAATTAATTTTTCATTTGTACGAATGAACATTACTGTTAATTATTTAACTTTTATAATAATATTTGATGTAAACTTTTCAACAGTTGAATATTTTCCAAACATAATGTTTGGGAAGGTCACAACTTTATGTGATGCTGCTGGCGTCTGCCCTGAAAGATGTAATTAACAAATTATAAAATGTTCGCTAAATAAATTGTAATAATTATAGTTTTATTATATAATTTTATATAAATGTGTAATTGCTTGTCTGATTGGTTTGATGACTTAATAAATAATTTTTTAAAGTTTTTAAATTTTTTTTTATCAAACATTTATTCAATATTTTTAATTCAGTTAGCATGATCATTTATTTGCAGTTACATTCAAAAATTTGTCATGTCAATTTTTATTTTCAGCCTGCAATCTTAAGCAACACACCTGTCCTAGACCCCTGATTTGCCAGTCTATGAATCAAAAAATATTTGAAGAATGTTTCTGTCCACTAATAGACGATTATCACGATAAACAACAAAATTGTGTGGGTTAGTCACTTACCGGTGTCAATAACGTTTAATCACGATTAACTTTTCAATGTAGAATGAGGACAAATTTTGAAATCAGAAAATACAGAATACATGAGTAACTAAATTTAGATTGTGAAGCATACTATATACTAAGCTATAATATATATGTGCTCATTGGAGATACAAACCACATTATTACTATAATAAGTTTAGTTAGGATGTTAGATTACAGTTCTTTGTCGAATTCTTAACGTGTTAGCTCAGGCTGTAGAAGTGAGTGTCTGCTATATTATCGAGTTTCACTAAAATTCCTTTTAAGAATATAGTTTTTTCAAAACTAACTAAACATTTATCAAATGCCTCGTTAAATTATATTACGTTTTTTTTTAGAATCTATAATCGTCAAAAAAAAATAAAAAAAAGATTAATCCAATATAAAAAATATAAAAAAATGATATTATCAACAGATATAAACAACAATTGTGTACAAAAATTTAGATATACCGAAAACCAAGAACGTAGCCTTCGCTGGATTAGCATTTTGCGAAACTGAAAATGGAAGAGAGCCGGCATTGTATTTGGTTGATGGGAATGTATTTGGTACTGCTAGCTCTGTTGTAGTTCATTCGTTGAATATTGAACTTAACCGAGTTTATTCGGTTCATGATGTTATGATACACATTTACTCACAGCCTGAAACAAATTCATGTATCTTATAACTTTCTACATTCTCCTAAAACATATATTATTTGACATTTTTTTAATTTTCCAGTTTTTATTATCCACGTAGTTTATCCAACTACTGAATTTAATTTTCAAGTACTTGATGGGGTCAAAAATAATGATGTTGAGGGTTATGAAGAGTCCGCTAAAGATGATGAAAAAATTGGTAAAAAATCTTTGAAAAGTGGTGAGTTGAAAATAATTCATAAACATTTAAGACTCTTTGTGACTGAAACTTGCTTCTTTCCAAAAAATATATAAATATATGAAAATATATGTTTGAAAAAATATAAGTATAAAGACTTGTTAATGTTCTTGAAGAAACAAAATCAGTTATTTTAATATTTAGTAAGATTAATCTTGCTCTGATAACAATTTTCCGAGTCAACTCTCTTCAATCGCTTAATACACTAAACAATAAAATTGTTTGCAACATACAATACGATCGTTTCCAACATTACAATAGCTGATGTGACGCAAACCAAAGTGTCAGAATGTCATCTAAATCCTCTTCCCGGTGGGTTTAGAAAAATAAATTACAACTGTGCTGACCAATATGCCAAAACTCTAAGCGTAAAAACGAAACAGCAGGACAGTTTTGGTGATTTGAGAACTGTTACAGAAGTCGAAGTGTTTGCAAGTTGGTTTCATGTCATGTGTGTTTTATGTCATGTCATGTTTTATGTAACGTGTGTGCGAACCCAGAGTTTTACGGTGTGGTGGGCATGATTTTCTAAACTTGACGATGACCATTTTTTGCTTATTCCTCATTAATTAATTGATTAGTTTAAAACAAAAGTAATATTTTTTTAATGACGGACCATTTTGTTTTTTTCTGGTCTGATAGAATGCATTCCGAAATATTCAGTAAAAGCACAATAAAAGTTGTTAAACTTTGAAAAAGTCAAAGCTACCCCCCAAAAAATCCCTTCTATGCCGCTGTGTATATGTTTTAAGAAATTCTATTGATAAAATAACGAATAATGGATCCGGACATTGAAAAATTTGCTTTTGGGAGTGGTTTCTTTTTATATGGGTTTTAATACGTTGAGTGGTTTTGTGTTACACTTTCATAGATATGACATTGATTGTGTAACATTTTGTTTAGTTTATTTGATTACAAGATATTCAAATACGATCCTTGTTATAAGTTTTGTTTAAAAAAATTATTTATTCGAATGTTGAAATCTTTAAAAGATCTAAAGATTGTACAAAATAACTAACATGTGATAGGAGCTGTTAAGAGTACTGGCTATAAGTTCGTCGGCTGTTTTGGGACCATCACTCGCCACGATGTAGCCGTCAGCAGCCTGCCTATCTTTGACTGTTCGGAGAAATGTTCAAAAATATTTCCTGATTTTGCAATTGCATTACAAGTTTTTGAAATTTACTTTCCTTTGATGTGTTATGTAAATTTTTTCGTTCATAAAAATTCTTCTACAGATAAACATAGATTTTCAATTTTTAGTTTGTAACCAATTTAAGAGATTTTGATTTTATAATATTAAATTTTTTGATGTAGTTTATCAGAGTGAGAAACTTTTTTTCATTCTCAGAAACAGAATTGCTACTGCATCCGCGATTACGCGAACTTCCTGCCGTCGTCAGATTGTTCTAAAAAATGCACCAATCATTCTTTTTTGAAATGTGGATCTGATAAAGCTTATTCAGTTTATGCAAGTTGGAATATTTTTATAAAAAAAAAAAATTTTGTATATCAAATATATTCAATCGAATCCTAATTTCTGATTTCAAATTTTCATAAAATCTCAAACAAAATCAATTAATCATGAACATGTTTCACGTAGCACCTCGTGAAAAAGACGTCTTCATTGGGTGCGTAAATGCCTTGAAGCATGTGCCCCTGCATGTTGGCGTGGACCCGGCGAGAGCATACCGATCGTGCAAAACGCACTGCGCGGCACTGCTGGCCGTCCACTTCGCTATTAAGGCAAGGAAGTTTCATGGCTTTTCTGCTTCAGATCATTTTGATTCCACAAATTTTGAAACTACGTAGGAAGGGAAATTTTGTTTCTGCGGTGACTTGTACAAAGATTCCAAGACAATTGAGAAGATTAAATTTTGCGATATCGACTGCCCAGATGCAACGAAATATACGTGTGGCGGTATTAATAAGCAGTATTATTCTCTCTATACAAGTCAGCCACCTTTTATTGACTTAATTAATTTTTTCATCATTCGAACTATACTTATAGAGAAATTTAATTGTTTCAGCAAAAATATGGCGAAAAATCAGTACAGATTATTATCCCTTCTGTGGGAATGACTGGATGGATGGCGTTTGTGATGGCGACTGCATGCAAGGGTGGTCGGGGACTTTCTGCGATGTTGAAAGTTTTTAACTTTTTTTTCTGCTAACAAATTTTTGTTTCATGGTGCTAAGACTAAATTTCTCTGTGCGTTTTTGATTCGTTTGGAGATTTTATAGTTAAATTCTCAGTAAACTGCTAAATTTGAAAAATGACATCGTAACTTCAGCCAGGAAGCGGAAACAAGATATCATCCACAATGGATGTTACACACAAATCATCCAGAGCACTGCTTCTTACGTCAGATCAATTGATGAATGTGTAGCATTCTGTGCTACATCGCATCTCATCGCATTGCACGTGAGACCACATTTACATAATTTCTATATTCATTCTGGATATTTTTTCTAGCTATTTCAACTAGGACACTGACAAATTAATAAAAAGCATAAGAGTTGAGAATGTTTTAAAATGTCCACAAAATTTCAGAGAGGGAGTGAATGCTATTGCACCTCCAGGGCAATGCACAGGGTGTCATCTAGTATCTGTAATATAAGATGTAAGGATGAAGATTTGTATTGCGGGGGGTTCAAACATTACTCAGTCTACACAAGTCAGTTTGGATTTTTCGTTCACGAATTCAAGACATAATTTGTTCAATTACCTCTTTGTTCACACAATAACGTGTTTTTATATTGTTTCTACATTTAAAATACGTAATAATAATTATTAATAATGCTCAATAATATTATTAATTAATAGTAACACTATAATACCGATAACTTTTTTTAACTTATAGTCTCAAGTACAGATTTTAGACATTCTTTAATATCATCTTTCGAGTGGTCAAGTTCCATGTGTAGGAGAGGTTCGAGAAGGAGGGATGTAGAGAATGAAGACATGGAGCACTACCTCCTCTCCTGCCTGGAAAAAAATAAAGAGTTTGCAGTCGTTTCAGTAAGTTCAGTGGTTTACTTGCACGTTTCATAAGTGTTTTTAGGATGTAGTAGTAACCGGAATTTAATTTTTTTTAAATCAACGGATTAATGTTCAGCAAGATTTAATTATTTCTTTTATAGAAGGAACATTACTGTTGTACGAATGAAAAGTTAAACGTTCGGTGTGCCGACAAAGCTTGCAACTTATCTGATCGTTGTAAATTCATCTACGCCAGTTAGCAATAAACAGTCGTTTTTTTTACAATCTATCAAGTTTATTTGTTACCCCCTGTTAACATCTTTTAATCTTCCAAATTTCCTTTCAATTAAACTGAATAATTTAAATGTCAACAACTGAAAATAAGTATATAATTATTAAAATATGTATGCTACTTAGCAGTAAAATTATTGAGTTAAGTGATTAAATAGTAACGGATATCTTTCAGCTTATAGACGGATACAATAAAGTTTATATCAGTGTTTGAATGTTTAAAAAAGCAGTGTTTTTAACAGAAAACTGATTAGACTACTCTCACTTATCAACACTTTAGCAGCAACGGTTCTTCTGTTTAATGATAATTTGGGATATAGAAATTTATTCGCGCGTTCGAGATTTCTGAGTTGTAAAATACGAACAGTTTGGTGGTTTTGAATTCGTTGTGTTGATAGCTCGGACTGTGTATTGCTGATTCTTCTGAACCTAGAAAGAATGTAGTAGATAGTTAATCGTTGATCTCTTTATTATACTGCAATCCCAAAGTTGTTCATTATTAGTTTACTAAATAAAACAGATTCAAGTCTTTCAGCTATTAAATTTGATTGAGTGAAATCTTTTTATTTCATTACTACTACTACTACTAACTACAATTTTTTAGATTTTTAAAATTTTGTATTTTGTTTACGACTTGTCTAGCCTGGTACGAATTAGAGTTACAGCTCGGTGTGGGGGTCGAGTGCAAAGCCGACTCTACAGACCCAAACTGCAAATTGAAAGGTTGACAAGAGACGACTCATAATACCAAATCATAAAATTTACTCTTTCTTTGTTTTTAGATTGCCACACGTTCCCATGCAAAACGCCAAGAATCTGTGAGTCTTCAAATTTCAAATCGTTGGAATACAAGCACTGCGATTGTCCGCATGATGAAGTTGAAAGCAAAAGCGGAAAGTGCATAGGTTCCTGATTAAATAATTCCATTCATAGGCACCGACATGAAATGGCTTGCTCCCACCAATTCGGAATAAGAACAAACTTTTTATTACACCATTTTTATTCCATTTTTATTACACATATTTAGTAGAAAGTTTACAATTGATAAATATTGTATAATTTTCTACAGGACAAATTTTTTTTATATTTTTTGTGTATTTAATCACTTTAAATTTGGAGCCTGTTCGTTAAATTGACCCCTCGGCCCTTTATAATAAACCTTCTATATTATAATGTCGGCGCCAATGATCTTATAAGTTGTTAATATTACATTCAACGAACTGCACTTGTTTAGAACTGTTAAAAATTTGTAATACAATGACCGACAGCCATACCTGGTATAAACTTGGCCTACAGACGCCCAGTCTATTCAGATATCCAGGATGGGCCAGAGTATGATCTTTTATCATTTGTTGTTGATGGAAATGTAATATTCGCAGGTTCGCGAGTAGAAAAGTTATTTCATTGGCTTGCCGTCAAATTGGATGATTTTTATTCCATTAAAACGGTCATAATTTATCCGCCGGCAAAAAGTAATTTTATGTAGAATTTCAAAACTGTTCATCAAACTCATTCACAAACAAAAAATCCTTTTAATTTTATGAATTTTTTTTAATAGTTTAAAAATAATATTTAAATTGTAGGAAACCAGCTCGGAGATGTGTCTGTGAAGCTGGATGAAACTTTGAGATCAGTGACGAACAAAAATTTTGCAGCCACGTGCGGGTCTCACTCCTTTGGCTGCGAGTGGGAGAAAGGAAAAATAACTTGTAAACAGGTGACGAAACGGTATAATTATGTCTTCGCTACAAGCGAGGATACGAAAGCTTTCTTTATTGAAGAACTTGAAGTGTACTCAAGTATGTTATTCATTATTTTGTTCATCTAAATAATTAACTTGTCATTAAAAGTTGAAAATGTTTAGTAATTTAAAAAAATTTGTTTTGAAGTTTATTAACCGAATTATCATGTTTACTGAAATTATCTTCAAGAGAATGCTAGGATAGAGGATGATCCTTCGAAATGGAATTATGTTGGCTGTTTTGAAACTTTCAAGGTGAAAAAGAAATTCCCAATTAAAACATTTCGCGAATGTTTCTTGGGTTGTATCGATCAAACAATGGATGAGACGCTGTTTGCCATAAAACTTGAGGTAGGTACTGTGTGTTTGCAAAAACTAATTTACTTTGCACAAATTAATAGTTCCACGAAAGAAATAATGAAAAATTAAATTTTTTGTAACATCTATATTTGAATATCATTTAAGCCGCAACTAAGAGCGTTCACACTGCAAATTTAAAGACATTTAGTAAAAAATTTACTTTTCTAATACCTTTACACGTGTTCTCATGAACCACAGATATATGGCAACAACTCTGAACTAGTATTTATATGTTCTTGCGGAGTTGATCCAGACAATAGATATCCTTACGGGCTCTGCAAGGACCGATGTGAAACAGGCAAGCAAGCATGTGGAAGCAGGAATGTTTATTCGGTTTATTCCGGTACTTGTTATCAACTTATTGTTTATTTCTTATCACTTCTCTTTTTTTTAAATTTTAGAGGTATCAGCAATAAACAAACTCACAGTGTGTATAAATACACGTGAACTATTTCAAGGCATCTTAGACAAGGCATGTGATTGGCGGGTATTTTCTTTAAGCTTTACCCCATCGTGCCAAAGAAGGACGATTATGAATTTAGAAATTATATATTTTACATTATCCCAATTACTTGAATGAAAGTGAAATTTGTGACAGGTTTCGTGGAAGAAAAAAAGTTTATTGGTTGTTTTCGAATGAATAGATTAGCAAAGTACGGACAGAAACTTTTACGAGTACAAGAACACATCGCATTTTCATCGTGTAACTTGCACTGCAAACAAATAAAATCATTATATTTTGGTCTACAGAGAGTCAAGGTAGTTAATTATTTTTCAAATTTATGTATCACCACGTAAGTAACTACTAAAATAACATTTTTGTGAAACCAACAAATGCATTACCCAAAATTTTATGTGGGTAAAGTCACCTTTTATTGACTTAATCAACATTTTTCTATTTAAAAAATCCATTAATGAAATGAAGTTAAATTTTGTATAAATAGCTGGTTTTAATAGCGATTTGTTGAAATCTGAGAGATAAAATGTCATACAAATAGTCGTGTTGCCATGTTTTTTCACACAAATTGAAGCCACCTCACCGAACATTTCTGGCTTCGCTGCCTATTGCAATAATTTTACATGTAACTGAGCGTGAACGAATTCTAAGCAGCGGACAATGCATCGGAACGTGAGATTGATTTAAAAAATAATCAGATTTAATTAATTCGATTTAGGTTTTCAGCCTTATATGAAAAATATCATTGCATAAGCTAAATTAAATTTTGTAATAGTCTGTAAAAGGTAGAAAAAACGCTTAAATTTTTCCAAAATAACCTAGTAAGCATAAAACTAGTCCCAAGCTTTCCCATATTTACACCTGCCTTTTGGTAATTTTTAATGAATTAATTCCAAATTATCAACAATTTCTGAAACGGATCAAACAGAACCAAATGTCCTGTCTTTGTAGCGCCTTCATATCCACAGAGGAGTTACTAC